GTTAATAAGACATTAAAAATGAATGTTTTATATACATCTTGCATAAAATGAATCTCATGTTCTTAAGCAAAAAGGCAAACACTGCTTTGTTTTACTTTTTGGTATGAATTGTATTAAATAGAAATTTGTATTTTATTTTAAACCTTTAAGTTATTCTCAAAGGTTCAGAGGTGGAAAAAAAAAAGCATTCTGTAAAATATGCAAAATATTATGTCCAAAAATAGAAAACAGTGCACTTTAACAGTGGTATGCTGGAGTATTTCTCCCCACTCCTCATTCAGTGACATCATGTTGGCAGCTTGAAATTGGACATGATAGAGTATTTACAGCATGGATATCAGCAAATGCCTCAACCCAGGATTTGTTCCCAGAGAACCAGTTATTAAACATTTACCAGCACATCACTGCCATTTTTAGGTTTCCTTTCCCCGCAACATTCTCAATGGGAAGTTAGAACTGGCATAAAACAGCATTCAAACTAGTCTGCTGATGAAAGCAAAAGATAAAAGAATTTCAAAAATTAGTATTTCTAGCAGCAAAATGTTCTTCCTAGGAAACTTCTGTTTAGGATGAGTATCCTTTTTTAGGATATAGGGAGAAAAGCCAGCATTAAAAACAATTATTAGGTAGCCTGGTGGGTGTGGCTCAGTGGTTGGGCATTAACCTATGAACCAGGAGGTCATGGTTCAAAGATTTCCTTGTAATGTAATATTAGGATGTGTTGGGAACATAAATTCATTTCTGAAATTGCCTATGTTTTTGGATATAAAGTCTGCTAAAAATTACTCCTGATTTTGAGAATCATGACTGAATTATGGTTAGGAAAGGGCAGTAAATGAAAATATTTAAATGTTATATATACTAAGGAAGTTACTATTGAAGAGTACATTTCAAGCATCAGAAAATTATGTCCTTTTAAAGAATAATAGTATGATAGATAATAATTTGTCATTCAGTATTCATTTTGAAAACTTAATATCTGACATTATTCACGGTAGTCAAAAGATGGAAAAAACCTAAATGTCTATCAAAGGATGAATAAACAAAATGTGGCATATACATACAATAGAATATTATCCTATATAAGAAAAGCCTAGCGACCATAACAGCAGAACGACCAGAATGACCGCTCGACCAGTCACTATGAGGTGCACTGACCACCTCTTGGTCATTTTCCCCGGCCAGCAGAATCCGATTGCCTGATGCAAACAGGGACCCAGGGCTGGGGGTGGGGGAATGTGCATGGCACCAAGCCAAGGCCCCCGCCCCGTGCCAGTCACACCACACACAGAGGGCGATGTGGTGGGGGTGGGGCCGAAAGCAGACGGAACAGCCAACCTCTCAGTCCCTCCCCAGGCCATCAGGCTCCTCTCCCATCGCCCAATGGTGAATGGGAACCGAGGTGGGTGGCAGCGGGTGGAACAGCTGACCTCTTGGTCCCTCCCCCCGGCTGGCAGGCTCTGATCACCTGATGGTGAACAAGGACCCAGGGATGGGTGGCAGGGGATGAGGCAGCACCAGGCCAAAGCCCCTGCCCCGTGCTGGTCGCCCCACACACAGAGGGCAACCTGCGGCGGGGGTGGGGCCGGTGAGTGGATGGAAGGGCCGACCTCTCGGTCCCTCTCCCTGGCCATCAGGCACCAATCGCCCGATGGTGAACAGGGAACGGGAGTGGGTAGCAGCAGGTGGAACAGCTGACCTTTTGGTCCCTCCCCCCCGGCTGGTAGGCTCCAATTGCCCAATGGTGAATGCAGAACCGGGGTAGTTGGCGGCAGGGGGCAGGGCCGGCTGCTGGCAGCCGGGAAGATGGCCCTGATCGCAGACTAGGCCTAGGGACCATATCTGCACACGAATTTCGTGCACTGGGCCTCTAGTTCAGCTATAAAAAGAAATGGTGTATCAGTACATGCTACAACTTGGATGGACCTTGAAAACATTATGCTAAGTGTAAGAAATCAATCACAAAAGTCCACGTATTATATGATTCCATTTACATGAAAGTCCAGAATAGGGATTTCTATAAATTCAGAAAGTCATGGAGTTGATGGGAAGATAAGGGAATAGATCAGTGATAACTATAAGGGGAGAGGGTTTGTTTTTAGAGTGTTCTCTAAATGTTCTAAAATTGACATTGGTAATGATAGTATAGCTCTAGGAACTATTAAAAAGGTGAATGGCATTGTGTCTGGATTATAGCTGTTTAAAAAAATTTTTTAAAAACTTCATATAGTACCTATGGTTAAAAATCAATTGTTATTTGTTCTTTGAGAAGTAACCCATTAGTAATTATTCTCTATTTTTGGAGGCTAATGAAAATAAACCAGTAAAATCTT